ATTAAATCAACTCATTGAAATTATTATTACAAATATAGCAATTATAAACATAGTATAAACAACTTTTAAGTTGATTAAAACCTATTCTAGCACATATATAGCGTATTAATTTCTTTTATACATTTTGGTAATTTATCGAGTTTTAGTGTGCCGAAAGCAAATCCAAAAATAAGTTTAAAAATAAATTTTCTCTTAAATTTTTGGAATAATAGAATAAGAAATCTAATCCACAAAAACTACCAAATTTAAAATTTGAGAATAATTGAACTTCATTTTAACCTGCAAGAAAAGTCAACAGATTAAAAAACGCAATTTCAGAACCCTAAATGATGATTTTCGGCCAAAAACTGACATGGCTAACAAGCTAAAGATAGTGGGTTTTTCTCAATCAATCATTTTCGCCCAAAAAACATTATTATTTGGTCAAAAACAGACTTATCGAACTGTTGTGCAGAATTCGGTCTAGAATTCTGTCAAACATATTAGTAACAGTTATGCATAATAGATTAAATCATGTAATTACAGTTAACCAAAGCATAAACAAGATTCAAATTCATCAAACAACAATAATTAATCAAACTAGGGTTTTAAAAACTAAGTTAACAATTTTAGAGAAACAAAGACATACATGTATAGAGGTTATAAGTTTTGAGGGAAGAAATATAATAGAACTCGCCTTAGGATTTCCCAATCGAAAATCAAACCGCAAGCTTTCGGTCTTCTTTTTCAACTCCGGCAGCTTTTAGGTTGCCATCATTCCTCCTCTTAGGTCCGGTTTCTACCCAAGCACAACCTCCTTCTCGCTCCTTTAGTCTTGGTTCAATTCTCTTTCTCAAACTAACACAATTGCTCTCTTTGTTTACATGTACCAAAAACCCTCTTAATATAAATAACATATATATCTATACCCAATACACTAATATACATATAACCCTAATCCTAATACAAGTCAGACAACTAAATAAACTAATAATATATAATAATAATAATAATAATAAGGGAGGCGCTATTCGCACTCCAGCCACTTTTCTACGCTTACACTACAGTCTTATATAAAATGACAATTATATCTTTAACTTTATAAATAAATAATTATTACTTTTTAAATGACACAACTGTCCGTTTAGATTTTCTTTCCTCATCTCTAATCTTTAATATTTTAGATATCTTTGTGCAAGATAAAAATAAATAAATAAATAAATAAATTGAATAATATTTTGTTTCGAGGACCAAATATTTTTTTTTATGTTGAATAAATTTTTCTTTTGACGGGACCAATAAAAAGTCACAAAAAAAAAGTTACATCTTTTGACAGGACATAAAAAAAGAAGAAGTTAACTTTGTTGAATAAAATATTTGTTTTGATTGCCAAAAAAAAAAAAAAAAAGAAGTCAATATTAAATAAATTATCTCTTTTGACTGCCAAAAATAAAATTATCATTTTGGAATAAATTATCTTCTTTTAGCACGGGATCCGAAAAGAAAAGAAAATATAGCACTGGAAAAAAAAATTAAGTTGCATAAATGGTAGTTATGTCATTATAAAATAAGTCATAATGCATTAATGAATTCAATGACCTTTTTGTCATTTCTTTTAAAAGAAAAAGATAAGTGGAGTGCAAATAGAGAAAAGTGGAGTGTAAATATCTCCTCCCTAATAATAATACTACAATATATGTATAATATGTAAAACACGCAACTAAATATGTATATACCACATACCCATGGGCTTTTGAGGTTTAATTAGCTCATCTAGGTCTTGTCTTCCAAAATTCAAGACTAAACCTTTGGCCCATTTACTTAGTCCAATCCATTGAAAAATTAAAAATAAAATAATAAACAATTTCACAACAAACAATTAAATCACACAAGTACCAATAAATAAACACATGCCAAATAGATTATATCACAAACAAATTTATAATTTAAATCCACATAATCAATTAAATAATTAAATAAAATAAATAATAAAAGAATTAGCATAATAATAATTAAACAAACACAAATAGCCAATCAAATCAATTAAAACAATTAAATCAAAAAAAAAAAATCCTCAAAAAATTAAGGGTATTACAGAATCCACACTCATTAGGTTGGCAATTGGGAGATATGATGGAAAAAAGAACACACACTACTCTGCTGAACCGTTTTTCACACTTCTAATGTGAAGTAAACAAATTTTCAAGATACTAAAAAAATGTTCATGACACTCCAACCAATGGTTATGATGAGCACTAAAAAGTGCGCATTTAAACCCCTAAGCGAGGGTATTTTAGTCCATTTATCTATCTTTATTTACCCGTTTTAGTACTTATTTGTGTTTTTATCTATTTCAGGTTAATAAAGTTAAAACGAGTTTAAAATGGCTTCTTAAGGCCTTTTTGGAGTCAAACTAAGTATTTGTGAGAATTTGGAGCAAAAGGAGGCTGATTTGGAGCAAAAGGAGGCTGATGCTGAAAAATTGCCAAGTTGGATAGATATGAGAAAAGTCTGATAGATTTGAGAAAAGTGAGATCGATTAGAGTTGGATCGATCGAGCCCAGATCGATCAAAAGTTGGATTGATCGAACAAACTCTGATCGATCGAAGAAAAGTCTGATCGATCGAAAATGTACTGGCAGTGAGCTATCAAATTCCCGAGCGCGCCGATTTCTACCTACCACATAGTTACGGGATTAGATATTTTTGGGGCTATATTTCTGACGTAATGACTAAGAAAAGGACATTCTATTTAAAGGGAAGTGACCCATTTTGTAGGAGAGCTTGTCATCATTTTTATTTTTACATTGTAATTTTATTTTCTCTCTCTAGAAAAGTTAGAGATTAGGGTTAGAAGAAAAGAGGGAAGTAGAGGTACATCTCAAGAACCCATCTCTAGATCCTCTCTTTCTCTCTCTCTAGAGCTTCAAAGAAGAAGAAGAATAAGATGGAGCCATGTTTGGAGCTTACCCTTGAGGGTTTCATGACCACATCTACCTCTTCCATGATTGGCTAGATCTACACTTAAGGCTTGGATGAGCCTTAAGTCTTGTGTAATCTAAACCCTTGTATTTCTATTTTTGGGGATTTATACATATTGTTGTGATTAGTGTTCTAGCCTTGTGAATTTAATGAATCTTGGTATATTTCTATGATTTTTATGGTTTAATTCTTCCTATTATTTCTCTAGTTTATTTACATGTCTATGTGTGATTAAATTAGGAATTATTTCTTAGATGATTCATATGGATTAATTCTTTCTATTGGTTCTCTATTTTATTACATGTTGTCTTATGTGTGATTATTTGGGAATTGATCTCTACACTAGTTTCTCTATGTTGGTTGCATGTCTATGTGTAATTAATTAAGGATCTAGTGATGGCTAAGCATGGGTTTTCATTGAATGTGTTAGTCAATTAATTTGATGGATTATTCTTATACTTGATGGATTGTCCTACAATTTAATTCATACTTGTAGGTAGGTAGACAATCTATACTTGATTTGATATTCTATGGCTTATTATTGCAAATTTCATGATTCTCTAGATTGATGTGTGCTACAACTGTTACTAATTTGATGGGTCATGCTTAGATTTGATGGGTTGTTCTACACTTAGTTTATTTGTCAGTTAGGTAGACAATTCATACATGAATTTGATGGTCCATGCTTAATATTGCAATTGGTTGTTGCATTTTGTTCACAACAATGTTTTCCCCATTAATGGAAAGCAAGTGGTTAATTACATAAGCTTAGTGGTGATTCCAACACCCTAAGACCTCTCTTCATATCTCTTAAATCCCTATCTCTCACTAGTTTACTTTAATTGCATTTTAATTTAATTATTTTCTAGAGTAATCAACCAACCAATCCCTTCTTTGCAATGTTGTGATACGCTAGAGTCGAAGTTAAATTCAACACGTATAATCCCTTGGGACGATCCTTACTCACTTTTGCTATGTTAGTAGTAGTGGTGGTAGTGGTTTTTATAAATTTAAACTTGACCTAAAGGGCTTTTCTTGAACCACACATTTACTACATTATTTTGGCGTTCACAAGCGGCCTCGTCAGATAAAAAAATTATAACGAGAAAAATTTGGTAAGTTTTTTACCTTATACAATTTTTTAAATTCTTGATTTTAATTCATATTATTAATTTCAATAATTGTTTATTTTTTTTATAGATGGATACTGTTAGAAATCTCTATAAACTTCAACAAAAACAAAATTTTAAATACGAGCATTGTTGGAATGCTCTTCGAGATATGGAAAAATGGGAATGGACTGCAACATTAACAAAAATCCAACTGGACAAGCAATGAAGAGAGATGTTAATCTGGATATTAACGAGTCTAGAAATTGGTTTGAATCGACTCTAACAACATCAGGTTCATCAACTCCTGCAGTATAAACTCCACATTCGGTAAACCTTGGTGATGACAACCACCGGCCGATATTGAAGGTTCGAATATGTCATGCCCCGAGGGACGAAAAGTAGGGAAGATTTGTAAAAAGAAAATAACATATCTTGAAACATAAATTCTTAGACAATTAGAAGCTGTAACAGAACAGTGGGTCGTGTTTGGTGAAGCAGCTGTGGAAGGAGAACAATTTAGATTTGGAGAGACAATAGACTAAGCAATTGGAAATAGAATGGAATTTGGAGAAAGAACGGATTAACAGTTGGAACATAAAACGAGAGAAATGATGGCTAAATTGGAATTTGAAAGAGATTTAAACATGGATCATTCAACAATAAAATGCAATCTTAAATAAACTAAATTAAGGGGTGGACATATGTAATTTATTTTTATTTGTGAAAAAAATATATAACGTTATTTTATTTTATTTATTTAATTGTGAGAAAATATGTAATGCCTTTTTTATTTTATTTATGTCATTGTGAGAAAATAGGTAACGTCTTTTATTTTATTTATTTAATGGTAAGAAAATATGTCACAATTGCTCGTGGCTCGCAATTCACCGGTATAGTTGCTATACGGGCTGCCCTTAGGAGATTGACTATTTTGACAGCCTTAATAAAAAATAGAAGACGGAATAGCAAACCCCTCGTTAATACAGGAAGAGAGAGAAGAATAGAGCAGTGTATGGTGCCACAGAGCTTTTAGCAGACAAAGGGAATGGCGAGCGAAGAAGAGAGTGCAGTGAAAGAGCCTTTGGATCTGATCAGACTCAGCCTCGATGAGCGTATCTATGTAAAGCTCCGCTCTGACCGAGAACTCCGTGGTAAACTTCATGTAAGCCCTTTCTCTATCTCGTCTTCTAAAACCCCATATATACACATACACTCACTGAACATGTATATAACACATATATAATTGATTCTGTATAGGGTTTTCTTGTTTATTTTCGTTCTGTTGTTGTTTTGCTTTTATTTATTTATTTGTTTGTTACTTCTCGTACTTCATCGATTGCTGGTGTTTCTCCAAGAAGGATTACAAGTTCTCATATTGCATTGTTGTTGATCTGGGTCCTTATGGGTCATCAAGTATTTCATTATTAAGGTCTAGGATTTGCATAGGTGATCTGGGAATTCGAATTTGTGGAGACCCATAACTGTCTATCTAAATTGTTTGGATTGATGGAATTGGAAGAAAAAGAAAATAAAAGAAAGGGAGGATTAGTTATTTTCATGTTTGGTTTGCCTTTGAGGAGAGAGAAGAAAGGACAAGGAGAGATTTGGAGAAAAAGGATAACAAGTTATTAAGTGAAACTTTCTTAATATCGAAAAATAACCTTAACATTTTAAAGAATAAAATTTTAAAAACATTTAGTTTTCATCTTAACTTTAGGGCATACGTGTCTATACAATTATCATCTTCAATTCCACTGTTAACATTTATATGATGAATCTTGTAGAAAATTTGGAATTCTCTAGATTACATATGTTGTGCTCATAGTTATTAAAGACTCAGAGCGCACTAAGGCGCCAAAGGCCTTTTGTAGCCTAAGCGCAAGGTACAGTATAAGGCACGAGCCTAATCGAAGTAAGGTGCGTGTATATAGTAATGCATAGTTAAACATATATTATTATATATATTCATAATCAAGTAGTAATTGCAGTTAATGTATGTAGTGAACCATAAATTTGCGAATTTTGTCAAATATATATATTTTTTGATAAGTAAATGTGGATTGAAACGAAAAAAACGTTCAAAAGGGGAACACGTCCCATATACAAAAACAGAACCAAAACCTAAGGACCCAGGAGGTCCAAAAAATCTATGAAATCATCATTAGAAGAACAATAACTTCCCTTCACCCAACTTAAAATGTAGCGACGAATAAAAAGTTTTAGAGTCGCCGTGGGCGATTCCTTTCCTTCAAATAATCTTTTGTTCCGCTCTCTCCAAGTGCACCACCACACACAATGCGGGACTGTCCTCCAATAGTCTCTAGCAAGACCCCCCCACATAGCATCCCTTCCACTCATTAATCAGGCCTCTTGAAGACTATGGCATTACCCAATAAATACCGAATAACCAAAAGATCATGTTCCAACAGTCAGACACCACAAGGCAGTGCATAAGGAGATGATCCACAGACTCACCATCATTTTTGCATAGGCAGCACCAGTTAACAATAATATTACCTCTCCTCCTCAGATTATCCAGCGTCAAAATCTTACCCCAAACGGCTGTCCATACAAAGAATGCCACTCTGAGGGGAGCCTTAGAGCGCCATATTATCTTCCAGGGGAAATCAAAACTAGCAAAGTTGGAGAGAGACAAACTTATCAAAGAAAAAAGGTTGGAGAGGGACAAGAACATGGACCGGACATCGAGTCTACCATGGGAAGATGGAACCCAAAAGAGAGCATCATGACTTCTGCCAACTGCGTCCTGTTGATACAACAAATCCAATAAGACACAAACCTCATGAGCGCCTAAAGCGCACATCCCACATAATCCCATTGCAATCAAGTCGATAGCAATCAGCAACATAGGCGTGTCTATCGACAGTGATTCCATAAAGTCTAGGAAAATATAAGACAAAGGCTGGTCACCACACCAAAGATCCTCCCAGAACCGAACACATCTACCATCCCGAACTTTGAAACGAATATGAGAAGAGAAGACATCCCACCCCTTTCAAATGCACTTCCATATGCCCACTCCTCTAGCAATGGAACTGGGCAAGAAGACCACCCACCTCTTTCTTCCCCAAATCTACAAGCGACAATCCTCCTCCACGGGCAATGACGATCCTTACCAAATCTCCACAACCACTTACCCATGAGAGCTCTTTTAAAAGGGACCATTCTCCTAATACCTAGGCCACCCAACTTAATAGGCTTGCAGATTTGCTCCCATCTAACGAGATGATACTTGAACTCGTCGCCCCTACAGCACCAAAGGAAATCTCATTGGATCTTTTCAATCCTTTCGGCAACAGAGCATGGAATTTGGAACATAGATAAGAAATAAGTAGGAAGGCTCGAGAGAGTGCTCTTTATAAGAGTGATCTTCCCGCCCTTCGATAAATATTGCTTTTTCCACCCCGCCAATCTCTTCTTGTACCTATCAATCATAGGATCCCAGCTCCCCACCCTTTTGGAAGAGACCCCCAAAGGCAAACCCAAGTACGGAATAGGGAAAGAACTCACCCTGCACCCAATAACTGTGGCTACGGAGTAAATGTCCTGAACTTCCCCAACCGGGACAAGCACTCTTACCAACATTAACTTTCAGCCCAAAAACCGCCTGAAAACAAGCAAAGATACACCTCAAATATCTCAATTGGGACACATCAGCATCGCAAAAAACCAAAGTATCGTCTACGAAGAACAAATGAGATATCTCCATCTGATGAGAAGAATCTCTACCCACCTTGAATCCCTTAATGAAACCCAAGTCCTCTGCCCTCCTCATTAATCTGCTTAAGCCCTCCATAACAATGAGAAAGAGAAACGACACAAAGGATCACCTTGTCTCAACCCCCGAGAACTCCCGAAGAAACTAGCAAGTGACCCATTCACAAGAACAGAGAACTTGACGAACGAAATACATGTCTCGATCCATCTCCTCCATCTACATCCAAAACCCATCCTCTGAAGCATGTACAACAGGAAGCTCCAATTGATGTGATCATAAGCTTTTTCAATGTCCAAGTTGCATAGAATTCCGGGAACACCGCTCCTTAGCCTGGAGTCCACACATTTGCCGGCGATAAGAACTGAATCAATGATCTGCCGACCTCCAACAAAGGCATTCTGGGACTCCGAAATAACCCCATCCAACACCTCCCTCATTCTAAGAGCAAGGACCTTAGCAATGAGTTTATAAATGTAGCCCACTAGGCTGATTGGCTTGAAGTCCTTTATATCAAAAGCTCCGCCCTTCTTAGGGATGAGGGCAATAAAGGAAGCATTTAACGACTTCTCGAAAACACCGTGAGAATGAAACTCGTGAAAAGAACCCATGACTTCGCTTCTGACCACCTCCCAGCTTTCTAACAAGAAACGTATTGTAAACCCATCTGGCCCCGGAGCTTTGTCAAATATTTTAAAAAGGTTAAATAATACGATTTATGATATAGAACTTTTTAATTTAGTAGACATTAAGTAAAAAAGAAAATAATATGAATAAATGATTAAAGAATACAAAGCGCGCCTTTTTTGAGCCTGGAGCCTACTAAAAAACGTTACCTTGAGGGCTTTATGTGAGTCGGATTGAAGGGGCCTGGCTTGTTAGTAGGTTGAGGCGCTCTAACTGAGCGTTGATGAGCCTGGGGCTTTTTTGGAGCCTAGGCGCGCCGTTAACAACTATGGTTGTGCTACCAAACAGAATTAGAAATTCTTGACTAAGTTGGCCCTTGTACATGGTCACACTGTCCATAGTTGCTAATATTTGCTGTGCCAGGAAAGCAAACTCACTGATTCCATTCTGCTACTAGGGTTCCAAACCCTGATTACCGATCAAGGAGGGAAGGTCTGGATGTTTTAGGGTACAGTTTTTATTCCAAAATAGATGACTTGCACGATCTTCAACTTTTTCATGTGATAGAAGTTTCTTTACTGACTAAGGTGCCAAAGGCCTTCTGGAGCCTAAGCGCAAGGCGCAATATAAAGCGTGACTGCTGTGCAAGCCTGATCGAAGTAAGGCGCTTGTGTAATAATATTGCATATTCAAACATATATTATTATATATATTCAGAATCAAGAACAAACTGCTCTTAATATATTTTCAAACATATATTATTATTATGAATTTATGAAATTTGTCAAATATTTCATTGGGTTAAACAATACGATATATGATCTAGAACATTTTAATTTAGTAGTCATTAAATATAAAAGAAAATGACTTGTCAAACTAAATAAATAAATAAAAAAGAAAATGATATGAATAAAAAATATTTATGTACAAAGGCGTACCTTCTTTGAGCCTGGAGCTTACTAAAAAGCATGAGCCCGAGGGCTTTATGTGAGCTTGATTGAAAGGGCCTGGCCTGTACTAGGTTGAGGCGATCTGAACCTTGACGAGCCTGGCTTTTTGGCAGCCTAGGCGTTCCTTTAACAACTATGACCTTCAGATCAAATCTCCAATAGGATTTTGTGTTTTACTCGATCTTATATTTCATCATTATAAGCTTCTGGTTACTAGGTGTTCTGTAAGTTGAGTGTTTTTCTTTATAATAGAAATTTGTAATTGTTGCACTACTAAGCATTTACTGAAACGGAAAAAGAGGTAGTAGCTTCATTGTAGTGTTCTGGTTCTCTGCGTTTTACTATAGATGGATTCACACAAAAACACATTGGCTCATTTATACATATTATTAATCTACATATATATATATATATATATATATATTCATGAATGTATATATATATATATATTCATGAATGTATTTGGTGTAGATGACTTTTCTACTAAAAGGTGTACAAGGTCAGATTTTGATGTGAATTTATTAACAGATCCTTTATTTTTGACCTTATTAACATGTTAGTCTGTGGGTGCTATGTTAACGATTATCTGCAAAGTATGGGTTAGATTTTGTTCTCATTAATTCTTTCACAACTTTAGACACCTCCCTATGTGTTCTATTTTGTAATATAAATTCCAAAGGGTATGATAGAAAATTGGTTAAAATAGTTTTTTGTCTTTTCTCTCCTTTACCTTTTCCAAACAAGAATGCTATCCTTTTCTTTCTTTTCCTTCATAATTTATCCAAACATGAATACAAATAATTGTTATCTTTTCTTTTCTCTCATAACTAATGTTATTTTCCTTTTCTT